TCATATAAGTGTATTCCTGAATCCATGCTATTTACAAAGCAATGCAGTAGTACAGTATCAATCAGTGTTCAATAAGTGAATTATAATATTGTGCCATCTCTTAAGCTTAAGTGAGGCATCACAGAGATGCAGAAATACACAGAGGATTACTACTGGGAGGAATAATAATAAAAATAATATTTGGTGCTTGCAGTGCATTTTAGATTTTAAGTGAAATATAAGGAGATCTAGATGCAGGTATTGGAGCTGTTCAGTTATTGTTATCTCACTGGGAGTAATCATTACCCAATAAACTACAGAATAGTTACTAGAAAACTGTATCATAAATAATTAACATTAAACTGCACTGAGCAAACCACATGCTATTATGCATTATCCTTGTTTTTCTTACTGCCTTTGTTCACTTAGGGGCAGATTCTTCCACCCCACTTTCTTCTCTGGTCATGGTTGGGCCTCAATGCAGCAGAACTACTATGATTCTGCTTGGAAAGCCACAGAGGCTCCCTACAGATCTCATGTAAGAAATCAGTGCTTTTTGCAGAAATACTATGCTGCTCCCGTTCGGGCAAAAGTCCTTTTGCGCAAAAGGGCCAGTGTAGACAGCTCAGATTTGTTTTGCGCAAAAAAGCCACGATCGTGAAAAGTGCTTTTGCGGAAACGTGTCCGTGCCAATCTAGACGCTCTTTTCCACAAATGCTTTTAACAGAAAACTTTTCCGTTAAAAGCATTTGCGGAAAATCATGCCAGTCTAGATGTAGCCACATAGTATAGGCCAGGATATAATGGCATTAAAGCTACAGTAGTGGCCAGGGAGTGTCTCTGCTGTTTTTCTCTATTGCCTAGGAGAGAGGTTGCTGAGCAGTTCTGCAGGACAGATGGAAGCCTATCTCACTACTCAGACTGTTCACTAGGATCAGGATTTGGCCCCTATTCCCTGACTGGCAAGATTTAGTAATTTGAAGTGCATCTCCTAGCCACTAGCATGAGTATTAAGTGAAGAGTCAAGTCCTGCAGACCTTACTTACTTGTTTTCAAGGAAAAGTTTGCTTTACTATGGACTATGGGGTTGGAAGAACCCATGTGTGTACTGTCAGCATCTATTTTGATGTGTGAATATTCAAAACCAGTGAGAACAGGTTACACAGAACCCTCCCCATGTTGACGAGAGGTCTACTTCCATCTCTCCACATTCAACAAGGAAGTACAGCTTCCTTAGCCACAAACTTTACAAACAGGAGGTCCAGTTCTGCTACTAAAACTGTGGACAAGCAATACCTTCCTCTGGGAGCAGTGCTTTGGGCTCATTATTAGTTAGGGCAGAGGCTGGATCCAGCCCTCCAGGTGAGTTGATCTGGCCCGCGGAGGCCCTACTGCTTCCCTCCCGCCCCCATGCTAATCAGGGCCTCAGGATGGGGGGAAGTGCACAAAGTCTCCTCCTGCCCTGCCTCCGCCCTGCAAGGAGTGTGGCACAGCGCTTAGAAGTGCTGCGCGCTCCTGGCAACAGGAGGAGACTTCACACGCTTACCCCCACCCCCAGGCCCTGATTAGCCTGGGGGCGGGAGCGAAGCGGTAGGGCCTCCGAGGACCAGATCAATTCACCTGTAGGGCTTGATCTGGCCCTGATTTGCCTGGGAGCAAGGGGGAGCCCACGAAATCTCTTGACCTGCGAGGGGTGTGGTGCTTCTGGACTTGGGGGCAGGAGGAGCACGTGAAGTCTCCTCCTGCCCTGCAAGGGGCTCAGCTTTTAAGTCAACTCGAAGTGCGATGCTCCCTGGAAAGGTGGGGGCAGGGAGTGAGAAACTGTCTTCCACCTCCCCAGGCTAAGATTGACCTGGGGGCAGAAGGAGGAGCACGCAAAGTCTCCTCCCACTGCCAGGGACATGGGTATGATTAAACATCTGCACAGAAATTTTCTTGGGAAAAGAAGTCATATTTAAGACAGACAGACAGACAGATGTCCTCCAACTGCATAAGGACTATGAAAACAAGAAAATATTATTTACTGAGAAAGGTGTATGGGGTTTCCCCTATGCCACACCAGGAAGGTGTGCACATAACAGACTTTTGAAAATGGCACGGGGACAATCTGATCCAGCATCCTTTAGCATTCACAACTTCTGTAGAAGTGACATCTCTATTCAGTGCAAGATTAGGTGCTTATTCACCTTTCAATATTCAGTTTACACAGATTCAATCAGATTGCTATAAGTGATATTTTTGTGATGTATAAATAAATCCACAAGGAGATGGTAAACTCAATATTCCTTTTAGAAGAAAAAAATAGAGGAATTTGAATGGACAGCTAAGTTGTAGATCTGACAATAATGGGACAACAGAGCAGCGCACTCAAAAACTTAAAAGACAGGTACCTCTGTTAGCTGTTTCCATTATGTCCCCCTCCCCCCTCACTGTTGTATATAAGAACCAGGCACAAAATGTTTAGGTAGTACTAATGGGATAAAACATACCCACATGTGGGATAGAAGAAAGCCTGTGTACCACTATAAGTCCCATTTAAGTCCTATTTTGAAGGCAAAAGAGGCGCTCTGGCCTTCTCCACAGGTGTGACTTTCACCTGTAACATCAAAAAGGCAACTTTGTCTCTGTGAATCTATTGTTTTTCTCATTTCTTCTTCTCTATTACTTTCCTCATATGCCTTATTTCAGTGACAGGCAACCTGTGCTAGTGAGTAGGCTACATGAAGGGCCCTCCATCTCAGCAGGCTACAAGACTGTTATAATCCAGATGGTCTCCCAGGCTAAGGTAATTTTGCTAATTGCGTTTGCTAGCACAGAATTTGTGGGGTGTGCCAACTGACCTGTAGCAGCACTTTGATTGGATGCCGAAGCAGTGCACAACTCTCATAATCAATGTTGTGTGCAATCAATACGCACTTCACTTCACATGTCTTAGCATTACATGCTTGTCATGTTAATAATACTGGTAGGAGTAAACAGATGGAAACTAAAGGTTCAGTATCAGGATCCTATCACCAAATATGCTCTTATCCCAGTCTGAGTCTGAGGTTAACCAGCTGTGCTGTATGGCCATTTTGGCTGGTTTTGAATGGTTAATTAATCTTTCAGATAGTTAGATCCTAACTATGAAGTCAGTGTAGAAACAGATAGGAAAGCAATTTAGGTTCAACTTTACTGTAGAGACAAATTCTGCCTGGACTTACACTATTAAGTCAACGGAGATGCACAGAATATAAATATCACAGAATCTATACCCTAGAGGTTCTGCTGAAGAAAAACAGAAAAGAGGCATGAACAGAAAAGGAAGAACAAATGTCCTTACTCCAGCAAAGCTTCCCACAAACTGGGAGTTTTTCAGGATCAGGTCTGAAAGTGAGAAGATAGGAAAGGTGGAAGAGGAGGGTTGAGATACGTCATAGGGGAATATACCAAGTGAAAGCTGTAATTTTGATCTGTGCTGATGTATCGAATGAGTGGGTTGAGGCATTAGGAATGGATTCTATCTTGCAGAAGTTCCAGCAACTAATATAAGCGGTACATGTGGATACAAGGTTGGAAGGACCGCAAACAATTTGGAATACAGGATTAGAATTCAAAATGACCTTGGCAAATCAGAGACTTGGTCTGAAGTCAACAAGATGAAATTCAATAAAAAACAAATGTAAAGTACTAAATGCACAATTACTAAATGGAAAATAAGCAGCTAAGTAAAAGGATTTGGGGTTTATAGTGAATCTCAAATGGAATGAGTCAATAATATGAGCAGTTGTGCAAAAGGCTAATATTCTAAGATGCATTAACTGAAGTGTTCTGTCAGACATGGAACTGTCCAGCTTTACTCTGCACTAGTGAAGCTTCAGCTGAAGCATTGTATTCAATACAATACATCTTTAGGAAAGATGAGGACAAACAGGAGAGTCCAGAGGACAGCAACTAAAATGGTAATAGGTGTAGAAAGCCTGACCTATGAGGAATGGTTAAAACAATTGGGCATGGTTAGTTCTGAGAAAAGAAGACCCTGAGGGGCAAGGGCTGAAATACTTTAAGGGCTGATATAAAAAGTACTATGATTATATATGATTATTTGCTATTTATGTATTTCAGTGAAATAATCATATTATTTTAGAACCTACAGTTGCCAAGTGTTTTTGAAAGATTTGTTAAAATTGCAAACAAAAAGAGGAAACACATCAGAACTATCCATCTGACCTATCCATTTGATCTACCCATCCCTCAGCCTGTGACCCCTTACCAAACTTTATCTACTGTCTTCTATTTATTATCTTTCAGTGTAGTTACATGCCTACAGTGCATTTTTTATCTGTATCACTTTTTATATTCTGATTATGTAACTGTACCAATTACATAACTGTACAGTTGATAAATGTAGGATTTGTCTAAGGATCAACACAGAGCCTCTGCTGTCAAGCCCCTAACAGATTCTCCCGGTCAGCCAGCATGTAGAAAGCTGCTGTTCACATTACATACCATGAGTACAGCATGTATACTCTGCCCAGGCATGTGTAATAAATAATTCACCGCAAGCCTTTTACATAGATTGGTGTCCGTTGCACAATGTAATGTCACCAAGCGAAAACACAGCCAGCATGGTACCTTGACATAACCATTCCAATGCAAAGTGTAAAAATCCAACGAATTAAAATTTAACCGGTTCTCTCTCTTGGGGGCTGGGGACTTGCCAGCTCTTTGTTGTATTTGGTCAGCGATTCCTGATTTGGCATCGCTGTCTCTTCTCTCCCAGGGGGCCCCCCTAGCTACTGTCGTCAGGCGTCTGCCCCGCTGCATTTCGTGTGACTGTGCATGAACCACTCTGCCGCATGAGGCTTTTTAACGAGCCACTTCTGTCTGTTGTAGTCCAATGCGGCTAATTACAAAGGACAAGACAATGCCGGCGGCCCCTCTCAAAGCACCTGGAAAATTGTCCCCCCTCCCCTCAAGCGCCCGCCCCTTCCCGCCCTCCCCAGAGTGGCTCCTTTGTGAGTTTCCTAGAAGGAGGCGAGGCAGCCGCAGGGAGCAGAGCGAGGGACGCGCTGCCGGCCGGGGATGCCAGTGACACGCAAGCCACCGCCCGGCGGGGAGGAGTGGCCCAGTCCCCCCCTGCCTGACAGTGTATCGGGTGTTCAGAGCCAGGAAGAGACGGGGGCGGGGTGGGCGAGCGGGCCCTGCCGGCCTCGCAAATCAAGGGCTCTCCCCGCCCGAGCCGCCCGGCGCTGCAGTCCGCTGCGCTTCAATCATTAACCGGCGGGGGAGGCGTGCGCGGAACCGGAGCAGCGCATCGCTGCCCGGGGGGGCCACGCCGGGCACGGCTCGGTCTCCTCCAGCGGCAGGGGCTGAACTACCGCGAGGCTGGGTGGGCTCCTCTGCAGGAGGAGCTGCCGCCGCGCGTTGGCTGGGGCGATGCCGCTGCTGCAATGAGTGATGCTGGCGGGGGGAGGCGGGGGAGCAGCACAAATCCGCTGCAATTCCTCCTCCGGCGGCAGCCAGCAAAGCGGCTCTTCCTGCACCGGTCCTGCTCCGGCTGGGCGGCTGCGGCTCCGGGGCCTCCCCCCACCGCCGCCCCTGCAGAGGCGCTGCCGGCCGAGGGGCCACCATGCCCGGAGGCCGGGCAGCGAAGGACCAGGCGCTTCCCCCACCCTCCTCCGCCCCCCTGCTGCGCTGGGACGAGGTGCCCGATGACTTCGTGGAGTGCTTCATCCTGTCGGGCTACCGGCGGCTGCACTGCAGCGCCCAGGAGTGCCTGGCCTCCGTGCTGCAGCCCACCAACGAGACGCTCAACTTCTGGACCCACTTCATCCCCCTGCTCCTCTTCCTGAACAAGTTCTGCCGCCTCTTCTTCCTGAGCGGCGCCGGCGAGCTGCCCTTCCACCACCCTTTCCTGCTGCCCCTCTGGTGCTACGCCTCGGGCGTCCTGCTCACGTTTGCCATGAGCTGCACGGCCCATGTGTTCAGCTGCCTCTCGCTGCGCCTGCGCGCCGCCTTCTTCTACCTGGACTACGCCTCCATCAGCTACTACGGCTTCGCCAGCACCGTGGCTTACTCCTACTACCTGCTGCCCGGCCTGCGCCTGCTGGACGCGCGGGCCCTGAGCCGCTACCTGCAGCAGCGCCTGGGCTGGCAGCTGGACTGCAGCCTCCCCATCGCCCTCTACAGCGCGCTGGTGCTGCCGGTGGCCTTTGTGCTGGCGGTCACCTGCACCGTGGCTTGCTGCAAGAGCCGCTCCGACTGGTGCGCCTACCCCTTCGCCATCCGGACCTTCGTCTTCGCCATGCCCCTCAGCATGGCCTGCCCCATCATGCTGGAGAGCTTCCTCTTCGACCTGCGGGGCCACAACCCCACCCTCTTCGTCTACTTCTACAGGCGCTACTTCTGGCTCCTGGTGGCGGCTTTCTTCAACATCAGCAAGATCCCGGAGAGGATCCAGCCGGGGCTGTTCGACATCATCGGGCACAGCCACCAGCTCTTCCACATCTTCACCTTCCTCAGCATCTATGACCAGATGTACTATATAGAGGAAGGGCTGCTGCAATTCCTCCAATCCCCCCCTGCCTCCCCAACCTTCCTAGGCACCATCGGATACATGCTGCTCTTAATACTTTGCCTGGGAATGGTCATACGGAAATTTTTGAACGTTGCAGATCTCTGCAAACAGAAGTAGGCAGCCAGGTATATTTTTTCCTATAGTGATTCTTGTTCTTGTTCTTTTTAGAGGATGCTGCAAAAATTTAGGTGAAAAAAATCTACAAAGGAGCCTGATACCTTTCTGTTGAAAGTGACAAGAGGAAACAACCAATCACTGAACTGCTAGAATACTATTATTCTTAAAATGACTAGTTTCCCAAGGGAAGCAATCAAGCACTATTGTTTAAACTACTCTTACATTGTTGTTTAGGACACAAGGTGAAACCACTTAGCACTATTGTTCAATCTGCTAGAAAAAAAATTGCATGAACTGTGAAGGCCCTTTTACTAACTCTAGACTGTTTAGAAGAGTATTGAAATCAGCAATATGTATACCGGCAGTTCGGGCACCGTGGTTATATCCACAGATTTTTAATCAAAATTCCCTGTGTGGAATTCCCTGGCAGATTATGCACAGAAGTTATTCTTCTGTGCTACTACAATAGTCTTTTGAGGTCACATGCACTGGAACTGGATTTGAAATGCAAACTAGCTGACAGCTATTGATGATTCCCCCCTCCCCCAGTGTTACAGCTTCTGTAGCAACCAAGCTATAGTTAAGATTTTAGAGAGCGAGGTAAAACAACTGCAAACTGTTATGGAGCTATAATTTGATCAAGAGATTTTGGTGAGACTGTGTGATTGAAGCGTGAATGGTTGGCATAGTATCTCAAGTCAAAGTAGAAATACAGGATCATATTCTTAGCTGCACATTTCCATTGAAGCCAGTAGATCAGAAGAGGATCATACCCACAAAACCAAAACCTAGTTCCCTGCATTGAATACAGTAGGAGTTTTGTGAAGGTAAGGAGAGCATGATTTTGCCCAAAGACCCTAATTAAGATCTGATTTATTTTTTAAAGCTATGAAATATAGTGACCTAATTTCTGCTTCCCCTCTTCTGCTGTTCAGGTAATTAGGGCCAGATTCTGTCATCCTTGACTACTTGTAGAATGAGATACTACTGAATATGCATAGAACTACTGAACATGTTCTAGGAGGCAGAATCTGGCTCTAGATAAATAGTATTATATTTTGACATCCTTTAATCCAATTTACCTCTGCAGCACCTGGACATTTTAAAGCCCTACCTAAGTGGCTGTGCTGCGGATGTTTCAGAGGGCAGTTTTCATTGGGTAACTCGTCCAGTTTACAGGTTAACACCACCACATTGCTGTTTCAGAGGGCAGAAGTTTTCATTGGGTAACTCATCCAGTTTACAGGTTAACACCACCACATCCATGAATATTTAAAAAATACAGATTTGCTGTGTCTATGCACAGCAACCCAGGTATTATCAGCAAAGCAACATACTGTTGATACTAATAAAGGATTTGTAGATTATAAACGGGGTTTTAAACAGAACTATTTTAAAGTTTTTTAATTGGAGAAACAAGCATGCAATAATATAATGCAAGGATATTATGGTCAACGTTCAGGTGACAAGCTATTTGTTATGCACCATTTTCAAAATGTATGATGGTGCTCTTCTAGTCTTATATTGCACAATAGCTTAATTGCTCTTTATACAGGTCAGATTCAGGATTACCTAGGGAAATGACATTTCTGATGAGCATATGTGACCCAATCTTGTAATAAATATTGGGAGCTCAATCTTGTTTTCCTGATTTAGGAAAAATTCCCATTATCATCAGTGAGTGTTTTGGTTGATTAGGGATTGCAGGATCAAGCCCTGAATTTGAGGTCGCAGTCTTCACACAAACATGATTTTGAAGGCTGAATGCATCAGTGACTCTCATCTATAGAGGGAGCTTTTATGATGTTTCTCAGGATACCCAAGACAGAGTCACCTTGTTATTCCCCTGTCTCCTGTGTGGGAAAAACTTGCTTGTGCTTAACTGGGGTCAGCTCCTTCATACTACCAGCCTGTTAGCCACCCAGGCACTTTCCTCTGGGCTATACCAGCCCTTACTTTACCTTGCAGGCTAACAATAGCTATATCCCAGTCCCTAAGCCCCTTTGAAGTGTTCCCTTGTAATATCCAACCCTTTTTCCACTAAATTCTCACAGAAATACCAGGTCTCCTGTCCCCAATGGAACAGTGTACACACCAGCGGTATAACTCAGCACAAGATTAGCACCTTGCTTAACACCACAGCACTAAGATCTATTTATTGTGAAAAACAACCATACATTTATTAGCAAAGATTCAAGAGGTAGTGAGTAAGGATAATGGAAACACAAGGGTTACATATAAAACAAATGCATAACACACATTCTAGAGACAATTAGCTTAACCTCCTTGTCTAATAAAGTTTCTGCTCCAAAGCCTTTTTCAACATTTTCGATGAAGGCTGGTTCTGATCCTATTTTCATAAATGCATACACATTGCTCGTTTACTTCCTAAATACAGAATGATGAGATATCTACTTTGTTCCCCAAATATAGCCCAGCAAATCTTTGAGGTATCTCTCAAGATTAGGAAAAACTTAAAAAACAACAAATAGTCTAGTTGCACCATAAAGACTAATAAAACATGTAAATGATATAATGAACTTTTGTGGGTGTAACCCACTTCTTCAGATGACTGGAATATTAGAAGTCCAGATCCAGATCTCCTGCTGTGTTTCTCTATGAATTTCTTCCTGAAATTCTTGCAATCCTTCATCTGAATTCAGCTTGAATTGGTGATGGAAGATCCATTGCGAATGAGATAATACTTAATTTACATGTCAACAGAGAATGGATAAAACATCTCTTGTCTGACAGGAAGCTTATCTCTACCCCTGCTGTGATACAGACTCTAAGAACATATTTTCAGTATACATACAGAACTCCTTACATAGTATTTATACATACATTTCACAATGACAATGAACAATGTGACCCAGCTTTTCATTTAAGACCCCATGTAACATTCTTTGGTGAACCAGAATATGCATATCAGAATTAGGATAATCTTGTACCCCCTTTCCGGTTGACATTAAGGGAACTTGGGTCACTCCATGCACCACTCTGATAATGGGGGTAGATTTCCAAAGACTCTGATAATGGGGGTAGATTTCCAAAGACAGAATGCTCCACTAAAAGTCAATAAAATTGGCACATTTAAATTGACATTTGTGCTTTGCACATTTTTCCCAGAGTGCTTATCACTAAGGTCCTTTATGCCTGAGCAGAAGCAAATCTTTTCCAGTGTGACTATCTTTTTAGATCCCTTGGTCCAATAACTTCTGCTCTTCTTCAGCTGGCAATCTTTATGCATCCAAAACTTTCATTGAAGTCAGAGTGTTTCAGTCTGGATGAAAACTACAGCTATTAAGGGTGCTTGAGTCCATAGGTAAATTCTCTTCACTGCCTACTTTTGGGGTTAAAAAACAACAATGGTCCAGTAGCACCTTAAAGACTAAAAAAACATAAATAGTATCATGAGCTTTTCTGGGTACAACCCACTTCATCTGAAGAAGTGGGTTGTACCCACGAAAGCTCATGATACTATTTATATATTTTTGTTAGTCTGTAAGGTGCTACAGGACCATGCTTTTTTTAGCTGCAGATTAACATGGCTTCCCCTCTGATACTTTTGAGGTTGTTTACAACAGAGAATGCATCTTCCCCATTCCATTATATTAATCTGGTGATAACTGAGGCATGATGGGTCAATGAGATGGGTTTTTCTCATGACCCAAGATGTGGATAATAGAAGGACAAGGGGACCCATTCACCAGTTTGTAATTTTGGTTTTAGTGAGCTACAATTTAATAAAATGTGGCCACACAAAGATATCACATTCATTCTGTGTCAGCCATGGGGCTCCTAACACATCATTTGTGGAATCACAAATCATGTGATTAAGTTGTGTAAATCCATGGTCCCCAAACTGTGGTCCATGAGTATTTATTGATGGTCTGTAGACAGCAGGCTGGTCCCATGTGCTCGTTTCCAGTTGCTAAACCACAGTAAAAGATGCTAAAACCTACATTAAACACTCTCCTGATCTTTCTTTATAAATGATTATATTTGCCCCAGTGGTGTTACTCAGTTGCCAGTAACATAGGAGGTGGTCTGCACAATAGCCAGTAGGAGAGGAGACTGGCCCTGAGAAATTCTATTTAAAAGTATTTCACACTCTGAAAAGTTTTGAAAATCCTTTAACAAATACAAAGCCAGCTCTTGCAGCTGTACCATACTCCACACTCTCCCACTTCCAAGGGAGTTTTGAGTGTGGAGCCTCTGCAGGATCTGGCGCATGGCACAGTTAGAACATCTTCATAAATTATGCACATACGCTGTGAGTTTGAAAGTATGATGTTAAGAACAAAGCTGATGTTTCAGATGTGATGCATCCACTTTAAAAGAAAATATTTTTAGCAGTGAGATGGCTCACCCAAACTTCAAAATAAATTATTTCTTTTAAAGATTTTTAAGAGATGAGATTAGAGCCTTCAACCAGCATTTAAGAAATGTAAAAGAAATCAGGCCAGGGAGAACAGCTCACAATGCTAACAGACAGCTCAGAAATAGCTGAGTGTAAGCTAATTGTAGAGAAAGTCTTTAAACCATACTACATAATAAGTTTTATTTGTGCTTGTGTCAGTAACAATGTAGAGGGCATCTTGAGAAGCAATGTCAGAAAGGCCATGGCTAACTTGTAAAAATACATTTGATATTTGCAGTTAGGCTATGTGAGATCATCTATATATATCCCAATTACAACAGTATATGGGGTTGGATTATCTATGGCTGCAAGTATAACTGGAATCTTATTTCCATTCATAAATGGTAGCTGTGAATCCCACCTGATATACAGATTTGTGTTAAAAAAGGCTCCCAAGGACATTCAGAACATTTCTTCATTCCTAAACATCTGTATTTCAGCAAAGTTTTGATGTGTATTTTAGCATCTTGAGAAGCAATGTCAAGACCAGCTGTAGAATTATTAATGAATGCTAATGGCAAGTGCAACTTTCTGATTTTTTGTACTCTCAGTGCACTGGATATATCAAAAGGGTGAATATGTCAAGTAGGTCTGCCTAGCTTTTCAGTATTGTAACTAATTTGTTTTAAATGCAGATTAATATTGCATTCTAATGAGAATTCCCACATTTCTCTGCAGAATTTCTAGGGAACTATTACTTGAATGTCTATATTCATTTGTTGGAGGACACGTGTAGATGATGCAATATATTTGATGGCCAGTTTTTAATGAATATAGATAAAATATAATTGAGTTAGGGAGGCTAAAAATGAGACAAGGCA